TGCAACCAATTATCTTGTTGAAGAGGTGAAAGATTATATATCTTTCACCTCTTCAACAAGATAATTGTGGTTGCCAACTTTGCTTAACCATAAAAGTGGCAAAAAACTCTCATATGAGTCATTTTTGGGACCATGATGAAGGAAGCACAGAAAACATATTTTGTCATTTAGCTTTGAGGAATGAACTCCTCATTCGACCCCAACTTTTTCTGTGTAAAGAGGTGATTAAATGAAGTGTGATTTAGGGAAACAGCCGCCCTTTCGCTTGCCAAGATCATTAGATAACCTGATTTTGCTCAGGGGATATGTGACCTTGGCAGAACATGTATATTATTAGACCAAAAACCTTTTTTAAACAGAGCTCTATACCACTCTAATAATCTAATTGCCTGCACATTACTTGCACACGGTATTAGCCTACACCTGACATAACAGAGACAAGGGGGCGTTGGTATTAGATGAGCCAATTAAATAAACACCTTCTTAGTCTTTGTAGTACAACGCTATTGAAACTCTAATAAAATGACTTGGCCGGCGGTATGTAGTAATTGCAGATAATTTAAGCTATGTAGTAATTGCAGATAATTTAAGGTATATTTATGTCTGTGTAGGATAAACTATTCCATTCTGTCACCTAAATGTCCTAGCACACCAGGTCAAACAAGCCTTTTAAACCCTTTCCTCTCAATATCCTGTTCATCCGGTCTTATATTTGTTGAGTATTTTCTTTCTTTCCAAGCTATTTGTTTCTGCCATTACAATATGAGAGCGTACTAGTAGTGTGGACGTAGCTTTAGAAACAATTTGCTGTGGGAGTGTTTGAGCTATCAAGAGCTGGTGGGCTTCCATCACCACAAATCAAGCCTTTGTCAATGGGTGTGTGTGTGTGTGTGTGTGTGTGTGTGTGTGTGTGTGTGTGTGTGTGTGTGTGTGTGTGTGTGTGTGTGTGTGTGTGTGTGTGTGTGTGTGTGTGTGTGTGTGTGTGAATGAGTGACTATAGTTAGCAAGTGGGAGCCCTGTCTCCTTTGTGTCAACAGGCTTTCTGACTCGCTGAGGCTAATCACCGAAGTAATTACTGTTAAATTGGCTCATTAATCATTTGACCTGTCAGACTGCCTTCTAGCTGGTGTGCGTGTATGTGTACTATGTATCTTGTATAGGTGGATAAAAGACTGGATAATTGGAGTTAATCCTTATTAAAGCTTTAAAAAAAAAAAAGAGTTATTAAAGTAAAGTAAAAGTAGCTAAATCCAGAGTTTTCCATTGCAACGCTTTATATAATTGTTCACAGCTTTTATTGATATATTGGTATCCTTTCAAGGGGCTTTCAAAACAAAATCTCCAAGGAAAAATGTTAAAAGAGGTAAATTGCACTGTATGTGTGTCGCTTGAATGTTTAAGTTGAAAGATAGAAGCTTTAATGTGACTCTATATCCCCAACATGTATCTTACAGGGGGACTATAATGGAGAAATCATCTAAATGCCCTACAACTAAATGAGCCAAATCACTTCCAAATCAAAATAATTAGTGGCAGTGTTGCGGTTATGCATTCTGTTGGTTAATTTAAAGTGCTTTCCATTTACCACACCATGTGTTTATTGTACAAGGCAGTGATGTAATCACAGGGATACACATTCTCCTGTTTCTCATTTAAAACCCAACATAAACAGTCCTGCATAAAGTGGAAGACAATTGTTTATTCATATTTTAAATGCAGTTGAAGCCTCTGTGCAGCTTTAACTCTGAACATGCTCTCATATCATTGAATCAGTGATGGTCACGATGGAAATTCAGAATCTGTGTTAGATAGTATCCCTTTTGTTTACCCCAGTCAGTTCAATACTGAATTTGACAAAAACCTTGTATTTGAGATCATTTGAAAGGGGTAAACAAGTTAATATATTCCCTTAGATCTTGTAGTACAGAGCCTTTTTTGTACACAATACTTCTTTTGTGAAGAAAACTTATTTAACAGTGGTTTGAAGGCACCCTTTTAAGTTTTTGAGCAGAAGAAGCACTATGGAATAAAGCACCTTCATTCACTGTTTTATTAGAAAGTACACTTTATTTAACATGAAAGACAAACTAACTTTATATAGTGGGAAAAGAAAACCCAAGAATCTAAATAAATAAAAGTAGGAAAAAAACGTGGTTGAAAGCAGCTGACATCGACAAATGCTGAGGGGTTTGTTTCAGATCTTTTACAATAACATAGTAACATTTCATTAATTTGATAAGGTTGCGTAAAGTGAATGATGTGTCAAACATGAGCCAGGTTCTGAGTGCACTTCAATACCTTCCACTTAAGAAAAAACTGTCAAATATTCCAACAGCAACAAAGCTGTGTCTCATATTGGGTCAAAATGGCATGTTTAGAATCTAAATTGAATCAGGAGCTCAATGAGAACTGTAACATTTAACCGGCTCCATATATGTCTATGTTTAATATTGTATTGAATAGCATTGGAATGACTTGAATAAGATTTGACTATTCTACTTTACTGGTGAAAAACATTTAATGTAAACTGGCTGCTGTATAAAAAGAGGGCTTGTGTGTGTGTGTTGAGGTCTCTGTGATATCATGTTTATACAGAGGCCACTTTGTGCCAAAATTACATTTCCTCTGTTATGAAACACTCAACTATAAATGGAAATGTGCTTTGCTTTGAGAGACACCTTCATCAATGTATTTGAATTAATATCTCAATTAGGATGCTTAAAGAAGATACATTTACTTACACACACGTTTGTACTTGAGTACTTGTGAGGACCGTCAATGATGCAATGGCTTCACTTTCAGTATATCAGTGTGTGTCCACTGCCTCCTGTTTGTAAGTTTTAACTATAAGATTAGTTCCAAATGTTTACCGTCATACAGCCCTTTAGAGCAAGAATGACTTAAGGTCCTCACTTTAAAAAAAGCTTAGTCCTCACAAGTACACACAAACAAACACACGCACACAGAGAGAAAGGCAAGTGGTCCCCTGTAAAATCAGTCCTCAATTGAGACCCCACGGACCATTGCAGACCAATTTAACACACACGCACACTTACACAAAATACAGAAAACTGAAGGCCATTGATAACACTAATGAGTTGCCAGTTTGAGTAAAATGACCATGGTGACTGAATACTGCATCAGTGTGTGTGTGTGTGTGTGTGTGTGTGTGTGTGTGTGTGTGTGTGTGTGTGTGTGTGTGTGTGTGTGTGTGTGTGTGTGTGTGTCTCTTACTAAATACTTTAACATATGTGAATGTTTTCCATATGTAAAGGAATGCATGCGGCCTCACTTTGTGTGTGTGTGTGTGTGTGTGTGTGTGTGTGTGTGTGTGTGTGTGTGTGTGTGTGTGTGTGTGTGTGTGTGTGTGTGTGTGTGTGTGTGTGTGTGTGTGTGTGTGTGTGTTTGTGTTAAGTATGTTCCTTGGTTGATCTGTGTTCCCAGTGCTGAAAGGCAGCTCATTATGATATAGGTATGAAGAATGTGGGTCTTAATGTCAAAGATAGAGACACTGATACACAGATGGAACATGGGGAACAGAGACGGATGTGGGTCTTTGGATTTTTTTTGTTCACTTCTTTCTTGAAAACCTTTGTGAGTAACAATTAAGTTGTATTTTTCATTCTTTATCCGTCCACCTCTGTAACCATCAATTTCTGTCTGACTTTAGGAGGATGAACAATCATTTGATGCACGTTTGTTGTGCAGGTTTTCGTCATTTGATCCAGTGATGACTGTTTCAAATGTATGACCATTTACATTTGACACAATTCTGTGAAGAATTTCATCAGAAGAATCCCAACAAAAGAACAACAAATACATAAAGGAAATCAAACAAACTGCACTGTAACACCGTAACATGTGACACAAACACGGTGTCATGTATACAAAGATTCAAACTTAGGCTGTACTTGGATTTACACTTTGAAGAATTTATACCATTTCTAGAAAGACCCACTTTGCTTGTTAATATGAATATGTTGAACCTGTCTAGATATCTTTTTTAAACCACGCAGGTAGGTTCCAGAGATGACAAAATGGCCTTAATAAACTCACATTATTACTTAAGCCTCCAAATTGTTGAATGTGAAAAGTGAAATTCTTTATTGAGATATCTCATGTATTAAAGGTAGGGTAGGTAAGAATGGAGAAACCAGCTCGAGTAAGCTAGAATTTGAAATTACACAACCGAAAAAAATCTGCCCCTTCCTTCAGACTTCCTTACAGAGCCCCTCCTCCAACAGACACGAACGCACACATGACCAATGAGGGCACGAGATAGGTTTGTGCACGAGATGGAAGGCTGACAGGCAGGTAGGTCATCCAATTATCTGCCGCGGGCCGAGGCAGATAATTGGACTTGCTTTTTACAGCGCCATGGTTTATATATATATATTATTATTATATTATTGTCAAAGCATGTAATGGATTCATTGCTATCGGGATTTTAAGAGCATTCCATGGAATATAACAAAAAGTGTTTCTGAAGTAGGCGTGTGGCGCAGTGGATTAGTACGTTGGTGTTCGGATCAGGGGGGTCACAGGTTCAAACCCCACTGCAGTCAGCATGTCGTTGTGTCACTGTGCAAGACACTTCACCCCAAATTGCTCCTGTGGGGATTTTCCACAGTATTGAGTATGTTAGTCGTTTGGATAAAAGCATCTAACAAGTGACATGTAATGTATTGTAATGAAGTAAATTACCTACCCTACCTTTAAGGAAGTCTCATCATAGCGTGACTGCCAGTGCCACCATGTGGTCAAAACGCAGAAAACATAATTTAGAATCTGGAGTTGGTCTACAGTAGTTGGTCTATCTTACTTTATTTATGACATCTAATCCTGGAATAAATTAAACACAGAAATGCATCACATCCTAACATTGTCATGACTGTCATGACTTAAAATATGACTCATTATATTTGTTAATCATTAACAAAATAATGTTATACTGTTTTAATGATCCCCCTCCCAGCATAGTACGGAACAGATCAGAAATGTTTAAGTAACTGCATATTTTTATTGTGTTAATCAAAAACAATCTGACATGACATTTCACAAAGACCTCTGGGAGTATTACAGTGCACCACGTTAACTTTGGTCTTCGACCTTCGACCTTTGAACTCTCACCTACAGACCGCTCTACACACACACACTGTTCCTTTGCCATTATATACAGAGCTCTGCTTTCCCCAAAAACTCTTTCACACACATACACACACACATACAAACACAAGCCTCTCCTTGTGAGCTATCGTACAGGGGTGCGTCACATGGCATGGGATACAACAGGAGTGTTGATTGGAGGGCTGTGTGAACAACAAAGACTAACTGGACACTGGATGAGGTTTTTTAACAATTGGCTGAAATGTCCAAAACAATTGTTGAGTCCTTTTCAGCAGAACATGAACAATACAGATGAAAATCTACATTTATAACAAAAAATAAAAGAATCCACCACAACATATCAGCTTATCTTTGCACATAAATACTTAGGAATAATATTAATATTCAACATTGTGCTTTCTTTCTCTTGCTCTTTCTCGCCGCACCATTGTCAAACGCGTTGGTCACATTGGTCATGCAATTCAAAAGAGCACAAAACAACAGCTGGCTTAAAAAGAGAGACTCAGGAAAATTTGACATCACTACCAATCATCACTTATTAAAGAAATAATACATCACTAATAATATCCATTTAGTTAATTAGTAGTCTAAATTCAATTTGTTCTGGGGTTCAAATGATGTCAGCATTTAAACAGTTGTTTGCCAAAAAAGGATGTGGTGTCAAAATGCAGAGTGTCCCTTTTACAGTCAGTACTTTAGAGTCAGTCAGTTCAGTTCGGTTAAAAGAGTTAATTACATCTCTATAAAGAAGGTATATAAATAACAACGATAATGATTCCATACATCTAAAATCCACTCACAGACTTAATTTGTGCTGCCTCCTGCTATCAGGGCCTGTGTGAATTAATGACCACACAAATAGTAAAACTTCAGTAAGCTGAAAATCTTTGAAACCTTGATATTTCTCTGAAATGTGTGGCAGCAACACAAATTAGACTATAAATTCATCATTAAAATCATACGATTTCATGAATGCAAAACCTAAATGCATGATGTGCATGACCAGTTACATGACCAGTGGCTTTCGTTCATGTGGATAGACTATGATACAATAAAGTATGGTACCACAGATAGGCTCCTCATCTGAGCCTGTACACACAATGGACACTAAGGGGAAGGCTACACACACCATGTCAGCACAGACAGCAACAAACATGTTTCTTTACAGATATTACACAGAGAAAGGGAGGACTAAAGACAGGAAGTAGGAAGACCTTATCGTACTAATTGTACATCAGGAAGATATGACATCATTAAGCAGCAAAAGTCAATGATATTAATGACTAACACTACGTTGAAAGTGATTCCAACGGTGTATAGAGTCAGATGGAATTTGTTTTGTTTTTGCAAACAGTGAAATGCATTGTGGGTAGCGCAGAACAACAGCTTTCTGAGCACTTTTCGTGCTGGAGGAGGTGTCGGCATAACACTCATCTCATATTATTTGCATATATGTATTTATCACACACAACATATGCAAGAACAGTGTAAAAGAGCAAGGAGTAGAAGTACCGCTTAGAATACAAAAAACAAAATCATAGTTTCACTCATAAATATCATGCTAATATATATACTGTACTGTAGCCCAGAAACATGGGTTGTCATACTGGAGTCCACTTCCCTCTATCTCCTCATCATATTAATGCTTTTCACCCAACAACCACCATTTCTCCTTAATGTTAATGCACAAAACATTAAACACAGCCAAAAATAAAAACCAATAAATAGTGGATTTTAAAGGAAGGTATTTGGATTTTGTCAAAACTGTTTTATTTATGCACATCTGATGCTGATTACAATAATTTTGAAACTTGCTTAGACGTAATCCACGTATTATTTGGGCTCCATCTGCGTACTGTAAACTCCTCTTTCTCTCACATCATGGAATGCCAGTAGTTTTTCCACCCCCAATTCTCTAGTGGTTTTTACAACACAAGCAGTGTAATCATATCTTGCCAGATTTGACGGCTCTCTAACCATAACTGCGTTGAATTGTGTGATTTATTTTTCTGCAACATGCCTCAATGTGCCTAAGGAAACCACAAAAAAAGCAACTATATAATATAAGCAGTTTTGCAACATGCTGATCTGTTCCACAGGCGGTCCCACAGAGCTGGTATCTGTATCTCTTCTGTTACTGCAATGTGTTATATGTACACAAAACCATGAAAAAATTGAGGTTACTGTGAATATGTGCACCAACCCCACCTCAAGAGATTGATAAATGTGTGTTTATCACGTTCTAAAATGTTTCTATTAATCTGCATCATTGTGGAATTGAACATAAATAGTTAAACGTGTTTCCAGTTTGAGACCCTTACTAAGCAGAGTATTCCAGTTATTCCATTCCCCCATTTTACGCAGCACTCAAGTCCGCAATTTTTTTTCACTACTATGAAATATCCAGGTATGAAAAGCGGAGAGGTCATCCAAACTTTGGGACCTTGATTTTGTTCAGAGTGGTATAGTCCAGAGAGTGGGTGTTCATACTGTGAGCCACATAGAGTATGTGTAGTAGGCCAACTTTAATTACCCAACAAAAAATGTGGTAATCCGGTGTTTCCATATACAGTCAGTGGCAAAGGGTAAGAAGGGTAAGTGTGTTTGTTGTCCACGGATAAAGGTAGGTTCACTCCCACATACCTGTTTATACACTCAACTACACTAATTGAACAGTGTAAAGGGATCGTGCAGAATCAATTTGGACAGCACATGCATCGGCTGGCCAGTGGTACCGTATAGTGGGGGAATCGATAGATAAATATACACAATGGAGGAGGTGCTGTGTGTGTGTCTGCATGTGTTTTTATGTGCATTGGTGTATTTGTATGCATGAACACCTCCAAGAGTTCTTTGTTTTCTCAGTCTCGTTCTATCATTCTTCTCAATTTTTTCTTGTATCAGTCATTATTTTCTCCCTCCATCTATGTGTTGTTACAGCCCTGCGCTGCGAGGAGCCCGGGGGTTAGGTTTCCCGTCGTGGGTCCGGCGGTTTCTCCCCTTCCTAATCTCTTGAAGATGCTTCCACTTCTTGTTAGCTGGGCGGACAGCTGGGCCCAGAGGTGGGACTTCCTTCCCTGGAGTAGGAAAGGTTTTATCCGCTTGGTCAGCTCCGGCATTCTTTCGTGCCCACACTTGCTCACAAATCTGGTCGACGGTGCTCAGGTTAGGGTGGTCCACCAGCTGCATGAAGTCCCGGTACCAAAGCTTTTGGTTGGTAATTGGGGTGCCACCTCCGCTGCGGGGTTCTAATCGGACAGGGGCATCGGAGGGTAGGTTGGAAACTGATGACGATGTTGAAGGTACCACTTCCAAGGTGATGCCTAGTAATGTTTGGGTGAAGCCGTGTTCCATGGCATGGCACTGGTAGAGGCCGACGTCTCTCTTAAGGACACGACGAACCAGAAGCCCTCTGTCTGTGTGGAGGACGCGGTCATCGAGACGCACCTAGAAAACATAAATTAATTGAAAATGTAATGTCTGCACTGAATTATGTGGACTAATGCGCTTCAGTCTTATTGTTCAAGTTTGTTTTTGGCATCAATGCAACCTAGCAAAGTTGTATGTGGGCTACTAGCCCTAACGGTAAATAAAACAAATCACACCAATAGCACATGGCAAAATAAGTGCTTTCTGGTTTGATATACACTATATATATATACTACATTAACTTTGGCAATGTCCTTGTCAGTGTTATTGTTTGTAACCTATTTCCTCTCCCCGCCATCAATCTCACCTCTTCCCGTGGGTTCTGTGGATGTTTCTGGAAAGTCCATGTGACCTTGGCCTGAAGGGATTTGGGGATACACTCCAAGAAAGTGCTGCTTCCCTCAACTCCATACAGCTTCCTCTCTGCAACGCGATGCTTATGGTGGTCTGAAGGGGGCAGCAAACACAAGGACATTATGGGGTGTACTGTTACTATGGACATTCACTCACCAATGACAATACAGATAAGGCAAGGCTTGAAAAGGCAACACATTAGGAAAGAAGAGGGCAGGATGACACGGGACAGGAAAAATAAATGTCAGGAGTACAAAAGGTCAAAAAATCCTTGACAAAACAAGGGCAGGGCAGACCAATAAATGATTGGATAATATGGTACAGAAAATATTTGAGCTGATATTGCTAATAAGAAACCAGCTACTAGATTTAAACAGTTTTAAACATAACCTGCATTACTACTTAGCACAATTGACGTGTTAAAATAATACTCACATATAACACTGAACAAAAGTCAATGTTGGCTGTTAATAGGAAATTGTAATACAATCTTGCATAATGTGAGATTATCTAAAGGGTGTTGATTCAAACAAATGTTCACATGTTTTATGTTTGAGAACTCTTCTGGTCTTAACAACGACTCATAGTCTTGCATGTTGTCAATATGAGTGGTGAGTTTTAGCAATGGAAAAGGTTCCAACTTCAAGACTGTGATTTGTTCAGAAAAAATATCAGTTACTAACTATTCAAGCCACCAGCACCGCATACATAATTGGGGAAACCATAGTTTCGAAATTGCTAAACTGACCTCTGATCAGCGCTTTTGTGCAATGCCCCTCTCAGCAGAAACAATCACTCCAAATGTCATTAGTTTTTCACAACCCGGCTTGCAGGATGTAATCGTATTACTCAGGAGCTGCTAAAGTTTGAGCGATTAGCTTTATTCAGTTTTGTGGCAGAAAGACAGATAGCAGCAGAATGCTGGTATTGTGGTCTGGGAAGACAGAGGTCACCAGGGGTGAAGGGGTGAAGGGTTTGGGCTTTTTTTGGCACATGGACAGTGAGATGTCAGATGCCAAGAGTCTCTGTGAGTCAGAGCAGGATCAGAGTAAAGCTTAGATTGTTGTTTTCGAATAAACCTCATCAGCAGTAGGCCTTAAAAACATTCATGTTTTGAACAACAAATCAAAGCAATTGTTTTTTAATCATACCTCCAGAGCACAGGGTGTTGGGGTCTCCGTTCCTTACATCCTGGCGACGGAAACGTCTGCAAAATGAGTATGTGTTGATTATACTAGCAGTCTTCTTCGTGTTATCCATGCTCAGTAAAATGAACTATCATCTGGTGAGTGCCATTAGTGCTCGTGTCACATACCTCTTGGTATTTGGCAGGTAGCGAGTACAGGATGTTCCATCCCAGGCGCAGTATGGGTCTCTTGCCAGGCAGCACTCAGCACAGGCCTTCCCATACACACTGCAGCGGTGCAGGGGGACCTGGGCAATGCCTGTGTCTGAGCCCAGATACAGCTGTTGCTAAAAGGACACAAAGTTGAGGGACAAAGATTAAAAGGGAGTTTTAAAAAGAATACAAAAAACTAAAGACATAATGTTAAAAACAAAACATTTATTTTTTGTATAAAACAACATACCCGTTTTGAAGATATTTGCATGTCGATGATAGACGAGGCATCCTGAAGAGCAGAGAGACAGAGAAAATATATTACCATGCTACATAACAAATGAATTTGCATTATTAGAGATACATTTAAGATGAAAGAATAGCACTGTATTGCCCCTCAATACAATTCACTTATTAATGCTTTGTCAACTACAATAAATGGGCTCCATCATAGTTTTCTTACTTTAAAGACCTCCAGCTCCTCCAGTAGAAGCTCCTCCATGTCGTTCCAGCTCTCCTTGGGGATATTGATCACCTTTAGTACTGTCCCTTTGTCTGAAATAAGAGATGCGATGCATCAAGTCACAAAACATATTATAGTTTAACTATTAACCCTCCTATTGTCTTTGTTTCCCCCCCCCCCCTTACTTTGGTGTTCACGGTCAAATTTAATTTAACACCCTTTCAAACTGTAAATATTGTGTCAGACTACACGAAAAGCTGCAGTAAATAAACAAAGAATAGACACTGAACATGTGTGTGTGTGTGTGTGTGTGTGTGTGTGTGTGTGTGTGCGTGTGCGTGTGCGTGTGCGTGTGTGTGTGTGTGTGTTTTATCTTATCCGGATGGTTACTAATTCCTTTTCTTTATGGCCGGGAACACCATGGGTGTTACAAAGTTGACTAAATAATCCAAAATTCAATGAAAGTGTTGATCAGCCATTTTATATGTTCAAATGTCTACTGTGAAGGATATCATAAAGCCTTAAAGCAATCGAATGTAAAACAAAAAAGTTATGACTAATGAAAGTAGTAAAGCGGTCGGATTTGATCCGAAGACAACAGGAGGGTTAAGATAAGAGCCAGAATTGTATTTTACCTGTGCCAATAAACATCACATCATACTGTCCGTCCGCAGCGTTGACTTTGTCCACAGCAATCTGTGTGAAGCTGTAGTCCACGTTGGTTCTGACGAATACGGGCCGTCGGCTCATAGGGTAGACTGGGTTATACATCAGAGGGTGGTGACGCGCAAACTGGATCACATCATCTGGGAAACCCTTCGTGGACTCAAAACTGCCAAATGTCTTGCTGGGACACTAATGGAGGGCAATAAAATAAATTCATATTCCAGCAAAAGGTCATATTTATACACACTTGCAAATCAGATAAATCACAAAATTATTAATTTGCAATAACATTTTTGGTTGTTGCGTAACTTTTTAGATTTGTTGTTTTTTCGAGGTCGCATTTTGGTTCCCTTGTGGGATGCAAAATGTTAAAAGTAACTTTCAAATATTCAACTTTAATACTGATTAAACCATCAAGAGTTAAACAATTTTATCGGTGGGAATGTAGTGTACATAAAAGGATTTGGGTACTACCCAGCAATTCAAAGTACTTTAATAATTCAGCCAATCTACTTCTACTGTAAGGGATTTGTTTAAGCTCTGCACGACAGGCCTGCGAGTGCAAAACAGCTCCAGCTTTTTAGATGAGCAGGTTTATTTTGTGTATGTAAACATATATAAACTGTGTCAGTCCAGTGAGGTGATTTGATGTAATGGCTCACAGGAACGTGAGAGATTTTCTCCAGGTCAGAGTCCAGCCTTCCTCTCGAATTAAAATTCCAGTCCAGTGTTTCTTAACAGATACTCAAATGTTACTTAAATATGCTGTAACATCATGCAGTATTAATGCTTTTTATGTTGTGTACAGAAGATACACTTTCGTCATAAAGTGAATCACTTTTGATCTGGTTTCTGCATTTTAAACTCTGAATCAGCTTTTTTTAGGCAGCTTTGCATATTTCACTAGTAAGCATGATCGGATTATTCTAATTTGATTCGTCCCGCTAATTTTACAACCCAGTGAGGTGATGATGGCGTGAGAGAGAGTTTACTGTGGGTCAAATACAATTACTATTCTGCAGTCATACAATGGGGATTGTTCTGCTTTGGCAGTAACAGCTGAAGCTATAACAAATCTTGCTGACGCCACGCTTGTGTGCTAAGCAGAACCTAAGAGCCCTGATAAGCACATATTGATTAGGAGGGCTGTGGAGAGCTTTGGATGAAATTAGGTCTAATGCTGCAAGTGTATGAAGTGCACACAACTCAATATTAGAAACCTGGGAGCATAAGTATTCAAAGGTGCTACTTAAGAATTACATACAAGTATTTCAACAATAAAAGTGACAAAAAATGAAACTCTAGACCAGGGGTGGGGAACCTCCGGCCTCCGGGCCGTATACGGACCATGAGAAAATTTGGTACGGCCCTCGAGGTAATGCCAACTTTGCACCTTCGATGCACCGCCTCTGACTCCCTTCTCTCGGCACTACACTGGTGACCCTGACATAAGTCTCGCAGAAATTAGAGGCACGCCGCCTGGCAGAGACTCCGGGGCCGACGACATTGAATAACGGCTGTCGACAGTGACTATCAGCTAACGGCTAACAACGGCTAACAAAGATGACTGACGGCTAGCAACGGCTAGCAGCTAACGATGACTGAAGGCTAATGGCTAGCAGCTAACGGCTGACTGCTTCCATGTGTTAACATCTGACTGTTAAACCTTTTTGGTGATCCTGGAGAGGAGGTTTGACCAGGCCTTGTTGACCTCGTGTGGATCCTCTCAAAATTTCGCCCACCTGTTTTTGATCGTGGACAGGACAACCCTTTCGAGCTTTTTCCGGTGCCTGAGAGGAGGTTCGATCAGACGGTCGACCTTGTGTGGACACTCTCGCTTTTTCACCACCTCGGCGGCAGTTTCGGACGTCTCCCACTTTTTCATCGGCGCCTGGGTGGCGCACTTCTGTACCCCGTCTCGCCTCGATAGTTTCGGACGTCGCCCATGCTTTCATTGGCCCATGGGTGGCGCGCTTCTGGACCCTGTCTGGCCTCTTCCCTCGCCTCGGCAGCGGCTTCGGATGTCGCCCACGCTTTCATCGGCGCCTGGGTGGCGCACTACTGGACCCTGCCTGGCCTCTCCTCTAACCGCGGCTAACGGTTCGCCTCGACGGCGGCTTCGGATGTCGCCCATGCTGTCATCGGCGCTTGGTTGGCGTTCTTCTGGACCCCGTCTCGCCTGTCCACGGCTACTTCCTCCCGGGGAGACTGCTCCTGCCTCCCGGGGATACCACTCCTTCCTCCCGAGGACTTCGTGCCCGCCGCCGCTGCGCGCTCGCCTGCGGCCAGGCTGCGCTCCTTCCTGCTGGGGACCACCGGAATAGTCACCCCGTCCCCACGTCGCAGCACAGCGACCCAGCTTTCTACGGCTGGCGGATGTTGTCTCCATCCGCCACGACGCCTACCACGGCCCTCTGCGCCACCCTTTCGACGGCCCGTTCCGTGGCCCGCCCCCCAACCCCCGGTGGGGATGCCCTCGCCCTTGTTGGGGCCCCTACCCTCTTCTGCGGCCTCCTTCCGACGGCCCGTTCCATGGCCCGGCCCTCACCTGCGGCCCCACCCTCCTCGGCCCCTGTGGTGCTTCCTCCCAGACGCGAGGATTGTGTCCATGGTTGAATTCTGGGGGGGCTTGTGTAGTGATCACTAATTAACTAGGTTACATTATTCACTCATGGAACTACGGGTTGGGGGTNCGCGCTGCACTGTCAGTTACGCTTGTCCATGTTTGTGATTGGTCGAATGCTCCAAATATCACCCCTTTCATGTGAACACGCGCCTAACTAGATAGGACACGGCTGGCTTGAGCGATCCACTTGATAACCTGCATCATAGGACCGCTTAGCGAGAGCGCATATTTTTTGGATTAGGCCAACCGGCTAACTCAAACATATCCAGGTTATGTTGAACCGGCTTTGTCGTACAGGCCTCTCGTTTCAGTACACATAACAACGGAACTGACAGGCAACCCTCTGAATCAGACTCCGATTGGCTGTGACTGCATCCACTCAGAGTGTCCGATTCAGAAACGTGAGTCTTACACTCTTTACGTCACAAACAAAGATGGTCAATGAGAATAGATCTATAAAACAGAAAACGATAAGCAATGCGTCAGAATCAAGGTGAGACTATCCGCATCTTTTAAAACTTTACGCACATTAGTTTCACCGAAATACTGTAAATAAACGCCTCTCAATGAAAAACTTAATGGAGTTGTTTATTGCCGTTTCTGTAGTTTAAGAGCAAAAACACAGCATGTCTCTGGCTGAAACAGCTGAGAAGTTATGACGCTTTGAACACAACGTGATATTTGGGATCGTATACGGCCCCGTGGGTCTCAGAGGGTTGGCCAACCTGTTAATTATAAGTGAGAACATAATCTGAAAAAAGTGCAGGCACATACCTCCACTCACAAGATGTATGTGTTTAACAAAATGTAGCAGTTGCTCATGCTTGGAAAGCTTAGTATATAGCACATTAACACTGAATGGTCATTCTGTTTATCTATTTTATTGTGTTGCACTGTTGGAGGAGCCTGTGACCTAAGATTTTCATCGTCATAACTACACTCTAGCTATGTTCGTATATGACCAATAAAAGCCTTGAACCTTGAACCTTGGATGCAGACAAATCCATTATAGGTCAAGTTCTTAGATGCAAATTAGTTTTGAGTCCATTGCATTGTATGTTTTTTCACTTTTTAAACCCATTTCTGCTTGTCCTCTCCCTCCGTCAGGACCACGTGTTCAGGATTGACCCCTCTAAGGTGGAGGACGGGAAAGGGAAGAGTCCGTATGATCCTCGCCACAACGCTGCATCTGTACTTGTCGGTAAATAACTCATGTTAATGTTAGCTGATGATGCTAATGAACGATTAACTGATTGTTGTTCTCATTTTCAAACATTTTCATGCCATACTTTCAGCTGGTTTTGGCTTATGACAAAGGTCCAGTCATCATTTAAGGTCACATTACCAATCACGGACTAATTCATTCGTTCTGTCTCTTAGGTGATGAGCTATATGCAGGCGTAGCTACAGACCTAATGGGACGGGACTTCACCATTTTCAGAAGCCTGGGGAAACGCCCCTCCATCCGCACCGAACAGCATGACTCCCGCTGGCTCAATGGTCAGTGTGTGTTTGTGTGTCAGCTAATAATCTATTCTATTTTGTTAAGTTAACTTTATGTGATAACGTACCTCAGTCTGTTGTTGTTATAATGAAACTCACAACTTGTTCCAGAAACTGACATTGTTCCCTGATTGTTTCTGTCTCCCAGAACCAAAGTTTGTTGGTTCCTTTTGGGTCCCAGAAAGTGAAAACCCTGATGATGACAAGGTGTTTTTCTTTTTCCGTGAGACGGCGGTTGAGGCCCAGGGTCTGGGAAAGTCCACTTACTCCCGCATTGGACAGCTCTGCAGGGTAAGAGAAAGTTTCGATCCCTAAATTCAGTATTATAATTCAAGTCTGTATCAGGCCTACTCAACCTGGTTATTTGAGTCGACAGCTACTATAACAAAAGTGAGGTCATTTTCTGTTTAGGAATTAAAGATAGTTGTGAAAGTGGTGTGTGCCCAATATTTAATACTGCTCATACTCTCTTCCTTCACACATTAACACATAATACCCTGTTTAACAACTCTTGACGGACTTTATCTTGAAATCAGAATGACATGGGCGGTCAGCGGAGTCTGGTGAACAAGTGGACGACATTCCTCAAGACCCGTCTGATCTGCTCGGTGCCAGGTGCAGACGGCAGCGACACGTACTTTGACGAGCTGCGTAAGTTTTGTTTGCATGCAGACCGATTCTGTACTGTATATAAAGTAATTTATGAATATGACGATTACATAAAAGCATTGGGTCACATCAATTGTGTCAGGGTGAAAGCCCTGTAGGAACCTGAGTTTGAAGAAAGTACAATTTTGCCTGAGGTATGCTAGAACCTTTAGACAAAACAAGTGCTGTCATGTCCAGTGAACTTATAAATCGCTTGACTCGTCTGGGCTACCTTATATCCCCATTTCTGAATCTATTCAATCAAATCAATGTGATAAAGAAATACCATTTTGCAGAAATTAGAAAAAGGCAAAAAAGAGTATGATTTTCCATCGTTGACTTGATTTGTTCGATTTTTACACAGAAGCACATTCTGTGGGTGCAAAGACCCACAGACCCACATTCCTGCAGACTTGGAAAAAGCATGAGTAAAAGATAAATTGGTAATATATCCTGGCTTGATCTGAAGCCAGTGTTGTCGCTGTGGGTTCAGAGACAGTTGCAGGCTTGTCTCTGGTGATTCTTCGTATGACAAAAGTTAACATCATGTTTCTATTAGGCATGTTCCCTGAAGCCAGGCTACTATTTTTTTAGTTTATTTTAGCGGCTTTGGCTTGAGCCAGCTGGAAATATTAAAAACTCTGCATGGAGTTAACACTGCAGCAGCTTAACTTGTAAACTAGCTTCCCCTGATAACATCTGCTGCTGTGTGAAATCAAGCTTCAATTTGTTTTGTTCAAACTACGAAAAATGTAGATCTTTCATCCTTATCATTGTTTACTGATATGCTGTAAACTTGAAATAGAGTGCATATTTTTGTGAAACCATTTGGCTAGTAACTCTTTCTAAACCAAATAGCATGTCTCAAAAGGAAAAACACCAAACCTTCCAATCATGTGGTTTACATAGCGGTTTCAGCTATCAAGATGGTTTTGATTGATCTTTCTGACCATATCTGTGGGCCATAATATGATATGTCTGTGTGCTTATCTTGTGACGCAGTGAAAGGCAATCTCAGAGAAAGAGTTTGTCTAAAACCTAACCCTACCCCAGGCTAAGTCAGTCCGTCACATTCCCCCCTATGAACAATGAGCCCCTTATCTCTTGACCAAGAGTTTTCTGGCCATACCTGAGGCTAAATCTTTTTAAAGGACCTCCCTGTAGAATTATTTGTTTTGATCTAAAAACCATTGGAATTACTCTACTGAGATACCTAGACTACATAACTTTTGAAACATGTGATACCAGTTGGAAGGGTGGATTCTACAAAAAGAAAATGTTTAAATGAGACTATTTAAAAAAATAAAGAAACTTATACAAACCACTGCTTGAAGCTGTTGTGGAGTTAATAGAGAAACATTTCTTTAAAGTTGACATGGCAATAAAGCTTTGCTTATCTTTCTCTCAACCTTTGACCTCTGGACTACCACAACCTGACCTCAGTTTGTGTGTGGGTGTGTGTGTGTGTGTGTGTGTGTGTGTGTGTGTGTGTGTGTGTGTGTGTGTGTGTTTACGTGTGTGTGTCCATCCTCAGGCGACGTGTTTCTGCTGCAGACGCGTGACAGGAAGAACCCTCTGGTCTACACTGTCTTCTCTACTTCCAGGTCAGAGTCCACTCATAGTGTGTGTGTTTATGCAAGTAGATATGTGTGTGTCAGCGAGTGCAAGAGAGAGAAAGACAAGAGTGTGTTACATTTGTGTTTTGATGTTTCTAACAGCTTCCCCTGTCCCCCAGCAGCAGTGTATTCAAAGGCTCAGCCGTGTGTGTCTACTCCATGAATGACATCCGCAGGGCCTTCCTGGGTCCCTTCGCTCACAAAGAGGGGCCCAACTACCAGTGGGTCCCCTTCCAGGGAAAAGTCCCCTACCCACGCCCAGGAATGGTATGTCCAAAACTCCAAAAGGCTGTGTACAAAGTAGTGTCTAGAGCAGGGGTGGGGAACCTTTTTCCTCTCAAGGGCCATTTGATTTTTTTCAACATCTCTTCGAGGGCCGTACAAATTATTGACCTCTGCTTAAACATACTAAAATCACAGCCCATTCATTTCGCCTTTCTTTCATGCTGTGCAAAGAAAAAGCAACATCTTAATCCAGATATCTCACCATGACTCGCACATGCATGCACGTGCACGGTTGTGGCATGACCACCAAAACTATAGGTTACTTACGTAACCCCAGTTCTCAGAGTAACATGAAGTGAGATGTCTCACTATGGGATGCGCCTCATCGCGGAGCAAACAGAAGCATCAATCTCATTACGCCAATCCTGATTGGCAGGTGATCTTGACGTCAGCGTCAGGGAATCCACCCCCCCTATAAGTAGCTTTGCGATACGCGCAATGCGTCATTAAAAATAAGTTCTCAGAGTAACATGAAGTGAGACATCTCACTTCATGTTACTCTGAGAACTGGGGTTACGTAAGTAACCTATAGTTCTCATTCATAACACTCCGTTCGATTTCTCACTATGGGATATTGGAGCTCCCGTATTGCCAGACGAGCTTATCTCGAAAATCACCAAACCAACCAGAACTTAACAGGTAGAGCTCTGACTCAACAGGGTGCCCAGCACTGCTCGGGCCACACTGGGAGCAGAGACGTCTAGCCTGTAAAAGCGGACAAAAGTGAGCGGCGAGGACCAGCTCGCCGCTGCACAAATGTCTTGGATGGAGACACCCTTTAACAAAGCCCAGGATGCAGCCAGACCACGAGCCAAAGCAATTGCCTCCACAATCCAGTGAGAGAGCCGTTGCTTAGTAACAGGCTTGCCCTTCTTTGGGTTAGCCCAGGACACAAAGAGTTGGTCATTATGACGAAACTCTTTTGATCTGTCCATATAAGTGCGTAAAGCACTGACTAGACAAAGCAAATTCGGCTGCTGTTCCCCGGAGGGACACAGCGGCGGAAGAAATGCCTCAATGTCAATTGGGGTACATGAACCAACCACCTTAGGTATAAAGGCAGGGTTGGGCTTCAGCAACACTCTCGTTAGCCCTGGGGCGAACTGAGTGCATGAAGGATGTACAGATAGCGCATGAATGTCACTGACTCGCTTGGCGGATGCCAGGGCCAGTAACAGCACTGTCTTGAGTGACAGGTGCTTCATGTCAGCTTCTTCCAGGGGCTCAAATGGGGTTCGAGTGAGCCCATCTAAAACCACTGTCAAGTCCCATAAGGGCACCAGTGACCTGGAGACAGGAAGGAAGCTGCGAGCTCCCTTCATAAAACGGCAGACCAGAGGATGCTGGCCGGCCGTCTTACCCTCAAAACCCACATGGCAGCAATAGCAGCCAGGTAGACTTTGATCGTGGAGAAAGCTCTGTGTTTATCAATTAGGTCCTGTAGAAATGATAAAATCACTCCCACAGGGCATTGAAAAGAGGTGTGCCCTTTTTGAAGGCACCATTCCTCAAACACCCTCCACTTACAGTCATAAAGAGACCTAGTGGAGGAAGCTCTTGCACTCTGAATAGTGTTTATCACCTTCTGCGGGAGACCCACTGTATTCAGATTATACCACTCACGGGCCAGGCCCATAGGGCCAGGCGCTCCGGGTGTGGGTGAAAGATCGTCCCCCCCGCCTGAGACAGTATGTCTCTGCGTAGGGGGAGCTGCCACGGCTGACCGCACAGCAGCTGATATATCTCCGCCAGCCAGTACATTGCAGGCCAGTGCGGAGCTATCAGGATCATTGTGTGTCGCCGTTCCCTCACTCTGGCCAGAGTTGGGGGTATTAGCGCCAGGGGTGGAAACGCGTATAGGAGGACCGGAGGCCAAATGTGCGCGAGCGCGTCCACGCCTAATGGTGCGTTTTGATCGCGCATTGAAAAGAAAAGCTGACAGTGAGCATTTTCTTTTGATGCGAACAGATCTACCGCGGCTCGGCCGTAACGCACCCACAGCTGGCTCACAACCAAAAATATTTTTGCGTATTTGCAGACCGTTTTACACTTGCAAATGTATTTGTGAGTTTGCAAATCTTTTAAATGCATTTGTGGATGGTGATTTACATTTCAAATCACATATTTACACACAAATTATTTTTATGTTCACCACACGAATAATTATGAAGACATATCCTATGGCCCATAGCCCAGGCCTCGCCAACATGTAAAACTCCTTGCTTACAACAATGTTATGTGTGTTTGCAACACACTGCCGTTTATCTTTGGCTCACCAGTGGTCACTCTTTACCCATCGCACATTTGTACACTGCTGAGGTTTATTTGATACAATTGAATAGGATTCTGTCATCTATATTCTTGTTACATGTAATCATGTCATTTCAATAAAATACTTAGTTAAACACCTTATGTGTAACATGGTTGCATCTGTGAAGCTTATAGTCAAGCCATCCTTTTCCAAAACACAAAGCATTCATGTAATAATAACTTCTTATCATAAACCTGCCTTGTTGACACAACTAGTGTGTGTCTGGTGAGCAAAATCAGCTAGAACGTATATAGCTGTCATGTCTGCTTGAAGCTTGAGTTAATTCAAATGCCATCAATCAAATGTTCTACACCTATGCATGGTTAAAAAAAAAGATTAGGCGTTAAAACATTATGATTTAGTTATTACTATGATAAAGAGTAACTGAATGTTGGCCATGTCACATTTCATTCGTCTGTACAACCAGAACCAGTTGTATAAAATCAAACGATTAAAGCAAGCTTGAGGAATGTNTAGGATACTGTTACATCAACCACATGAAAAGAAAGGAGGTTTCAAACTTCCTTTATAACCTCCTTTAGCTTAGGAACCACTGGACCTCCCTTGACGAAAGGAGAGGAGAAAATGCTGCCCCACAATGCCCTTTCGTCAAGGGAGGTCCAGTGGTTCCTAAGCTAAAGGAGGTTATAAAGGAAGTTTGAAACCTCCTTTCTTTTCATGTGGTTGATGTAACAGTATCCTACATTTGTGTATTCCAATTCCTGTGTTATTTTGCATTTGTTGTTTGTTCATTTTATATTTTTTATTTGTTCATTCATTTATTAATATTAATTGAATTTAGTTTTTTAAGTTACATTAGAGAGGAGAATTTGGTCCAGTTTTCAACCTGTTGTACAACGAAAAAAAAACAGAGGTAAAAGATTAAAAATAAATCGGATTTATATTTGTAAATTGAAGTAAACACACCACTGTTAATGTACTTCTTCTGTGGCTTCATGTTGATAGCCTGTCCTGCATTGTAAACAAATAAAATAAAGACATCAGAAAAGATTAAGCCTTTTCTAAGATGGAAATATCCAGGTCTTTCTTTCTTTTGTCCTCAGTATCCACAATCACTTGAATCAGAAAACACAGAAGTCCGAGCAGCAAAACAAACCAAATCGTTTCTCTCAGAGATTACTGAGGAATTTCTGGGAAATCACACTGTTGTAAAAACAAACTGAATAATTTGTTAAGATCAGTCAAACACATTTGAGTTTGTACACACTGGAGATAACAGCTGCCACACACTCCAGATCATCAGGCAATCAATTGGAAAATGTTGTCGTTTTTGCAAAGTGAACGAGGAAGCATGAACACCGAGCCTGCCACATGGGGCTTAACCCACTTCCACACAAGCCACATTGTTGCAGTCACTGTGGTGAGCTGACAGTTTGAGAGCGTAGGGCCAGCTTGAAAGAAAGTCAAGCTTAATGTCTGAACAGAAAATAATGAACTCTTTAAATGTTAATGTATTAGTTTGTATGGGTTTGGTAGTTCTCTGCATGCTGCTATGGTGAACCAAAACAAAACATCTGGTTGTTTTGCTTCTGTTGTCATATTTGCATTTATTTTAAAATCATAATTATGCAGATGAAATACTGATTCAGTGCTAGGGTTGGGCATACAGAAGCAGTTTGTAGTTTGATTCAAAAGATCGCTGGAGGATTTTATTTAGACTTCAGGGGCCGTATTCACAAAGGATTTTAGGGCTAAAAGTAGCTCCTAACTGGCGAATTTAGGAGAAACTCATAACGCATAATGGGCGTGTTAGCAGATGTAGACTTAAACCTTTTGTCTCCTGCAGCAGAAAGGTGAATAATCTCAGTCGTTCAAGTTTAGCCATCCATCACGGCGTTATTTATTTTAGGCACACATCTCAAGAGGCTTGAGGACAGACAGAGAAGGGGCGTGACTTCCAACGGTCTTATACCCTAGGTAGTGACATCATCAATCATGTGGTNTGTCCATTGGCGTTCTTTTGCCAGGAATTGTCGTTTTTTGTCCTGCCAATTTTGAAGACTACACATGATATATATCATGTCCACAATCACACATGGCATGCTGATCAGATTCGTCTGAATTTTCATCAACATTGTCCCCTTGAAAAATCTGTTCCAAAGCCTCAGCTGTAGTAAACTTCCTTGCCATACCTCAGTTTACTTTCAAAACACTAAAATAACGTATTCTAACTTTTATTTTTTTTTTGCGCGTGGAATTATACCAGAGGCCTGTACGACGAAGCCGGATTATCGTTTAGCGGGCTAACTTCAGGGAAAACTCTGGGTTTCTGGTGCTACGATGCTGGTTCTCTTTTTAGCGGGCTGGATCTCCATGGTAACTTATGCTGAGCGGCTAACCTGGTCCGGAGCAGGTTAGGTTGCAGGCTAAGAGATCAAGTCAGCGAAAGCACCGCCTGCTGACCAATCAGAGCTTAGTGTGTGGAGTTTAAAGCGATCAAGTCATATTAAAGGAGAAAGGAAATACAGTTTAAACTGCCGTTGCAGGAAAGACGGCCGGCAAAAATAACCGACAATAATATGAAAATTAATAGAATATCACCTCCCATCTTCAGAGCAATCTGACTATTATAACATTAGCGTTAATAAAGCTTTCTTAAATATCTGCCACAACACAAGTAACCGGATCAAAGTAACATTACGTACAGTCCACGGCACTGTGAGTGCAGTCGTCGATGTGTCCCATTGTCATTCATATCACATCATAATGTATCATATATTTCCTTATCTGAGTCAGCTTCTTGAGCCGTATCTGGCCGTGCAACACTCACAGTGTCACATACTGTATGCAGAAGTTTTATTTTAAGCAACACATTAAGTTGACGAAACACTCGAGTCAAATGTAATTAAAGTCGGATCGTGTCTTAGACGGGGCAGTGATATCATAAACCTGTTAATGTACACATTCAAAAACTTTTTCTTTTACCAGCTGTATTCACCTTGCAGGTGCAGCTATGTGGCTTTTATCCTGGATACAGTGTTTAAGTCATGGATGTTTAAAGTTTAACGTCTTCATATTTGTCTAATATTATAGTTGNTATTCTGTTCATTAGTTATGCCCATTCTTTTGGGCAGTGTCCATGGGCGTTTTTTTGCGAAGAATTGTCATATGTTGTCCTGTCAATTTACACTCAGCAATGCTGAGTGTAAATTGACAGGACAACATATGACAATTCTTCGCAAAAAAACGCCCATGGACACTGCCCAAAAGAATGGGCATAACTAATGAACAGAATAAGTTAGAATCTTCTAATCAGTTCTGATACAATGATAATACATGTGTGCAATTTTCTGTGTTGAATGTTTCTTTCAATGTTATGGTTGGCTGTTATTTTTTGTATTAGTCTTTTTATTTCATTATAGTGTACAGTAATCGATGCCATTTCATTTATATTGTAATATCACAGTACCACAGTACACTCACTACACTCCCCCTCCCTCCCTCCACCCGCACATGCCCACACGGGCAAGACCAAAACAAAATGCTTATCAGTATAACTTAAACAACAGAGCCATGAAAATGGCAGTTATCTTTTATGAAATAAGTAAAAGATTCAAGCTCTGTTTTTTATTTATGGGCAAATATCCCCTATTATAGTGTATTTCAACACCACATTCTCTCTCCCAACTTGGCCTACAGTATGTTGACGTTATGTCAGGGTCCCTGTCGTCACTTTCCAACGCAAGGGGGGGCCTTTAGCGTCGAGTTTCAACTATCAGGTAGTCCCATTGACTTGCATAGAGCTCCCTGAACGTTGGTAATAGACGAGTTGGGATTGCGGCGAAATGCTCTCCGCAGATCCATTATCACCGCGTTTATCAACCTTTTTCTTACTCAATATCAAGCCAAACTTATTGTTTTTGCTTCTTTATTTTAATTGAATAATGTATAATGTTGTTGCTGTCAGTTATGGGGAGAGTAGGGGCTCAGAAAACTGAAATCTGTATTGTTTCATTGTTTTTTCCTTCTAATTTTGTATTCTTTTCTAAACCACACACTGTTATTTACTCAACAATAACACACAATTATCCTTGTGTTTATTTATTTGTTATATTGTATAATGTCGGACTTTTGGAGTCTGTCAGGACCGAGAGTCGGAGCAGCTCATAGTAGTTGCTTAAGAGAATCTTTTACACCCGAAGAAGTATTCTCTCGCTTTGCTCAAACCCTTTCGTGATTGTCCTTCAATGCTCGCTGTGATTGGATGTTTTATGCCGCAATGCAACCGCTGGGATATCGGCTGTTACTGTGATGTGAATCACCGAAAACATTTTTTTTTAAATATAATAAGTACTTGTAGTCCCGAGTGTGCTTGCTTTTCTCTTTGGAAGTCATCAGCACTTAACGGCATTGGTAATACCACGTCGGCTGCATTAAATATTACACATTCTGGCGTAGTCTTTTATTGTATAGAGCCCTTGCATGGAGAGATGCTTCTGGAACACAGGAAGAACTGCCGCCAAAAACTGACATATGTACAGTGGATCACTAAATATATCAAACATTACACAAACATCTTCAATCTTCTCTTCACACAATAGTGTCGCCTGTGCAGTACTCTAATTTCGGGGCTGAACTTCTTATATTTGAGTCCAATCAGCTATATTGGCCGTTTATTTACACCATAACGTGCACCCAGCTGATAGGAAAGGAAACACCCTAGTGGCTTAAGCGACGGTGGTATCGCTTTTTAGTTATTAGATATTAATACTTTAATTTTCTGGCCTTGATGTAACAATATTCGATAATTAAGTAAATTGCTAACACCTCTTTCAAACGGCCGAGTTTACACGTTTCAGTTTGCCGTGTGTAAGTGATGAATGGGGGATGTTTGGGCTTTTATCTGCGCGCCCGCGCAGCCTGCACAGCCAAGTGCGAAGTGAGCGAGTCGGAACGAGAGAGCGCCGGTACGGCCTCTTGTTTGTTATTAGAATCTTGGTGCTAGCTGCTTTAACGGACTGATAAGAACGAAGATGTGTGTAGCAATAATGTGACCCGAGAGAGTCCTCTCCAGTCACACTGAGAGGCTTTATAAACTTACAGCCTCAGTGAGCGGTAAGGTCTGGAGTGTTGTAAGATATTAACTTTCAGTGTTTCCGCGGTAGGATGGGTCATCAGCAGCTGGGGTGCTAAGGCACGTTGGGCCCAGCAGGTAATTGTGAGAGCGGAGCGCGTGAATTTTTGTGGCGTGTTGCGTGCGCCCGCCCAATTGTTTGCTATATGTCAGCAAAAGAAAGGGCTCTTGATGGCCTAGTACCAAACGAAGATTTTTTTTGTAAATTTTACAGTAAATGCTTTTCGATCTGGTGCACTGTTGGGCACAAAATTTACTCGAGACTCCCGATCTAGGGGGCACAACTCTAAAACGCCTTTTATGAAAAAGATCCGGTTTTTTGATTTTTGAATAATCAAATAAGTATGTGAACATAACCCCACATAAACTCCACCATAGCAATAGGGGTGTGTGAAAATGAATCGTGGTTCTACGATGCATTGCGATGCGGACGTGGGATGATTCGGTATCGATGCAGTGACGTAAAAGATTAAGATGGATTATAGCGTAGTAACGCTTGCTTCCTGATTTTCTGCCGGCGGCTTTACTATAACGTTTGTTGTCTGTCCTGAAAGAGTCAAAGGTCGGTCCGTGGACACATGGAGATTCAGCCGGACAGACGTGGACAGCCAGCAGCAACACCAACGACTGGGTAAGCAGTCTTTTATCCACGCAACACCAATAAACCATGTCCGAGAAACCCAGACAGCAGGAAGGAACCCGCTCCTGGAATCAACTCGCGTGTCGTGCGGCCTCACGAGACACAGAGATTT